AAAACAAAGTCATCGTCTTCGTTTGTTACAACACCAATATCACCAAGAATTCTGTGAAATTGGTTTGATTTATTGGTTGAGATGAGTGCAGTTTCCTTCTTTCACTGTACATGAATTGAGATATTCAAAATCTTTTTTTTTCTGAATCTTCTTCGTCAATTTTGAAGAGCTCAGAATTAATCCGACACACTTGGGGACCAGAAAAAATGTCAGATTAAGCAGAGTGTCGGAATACTCAGGTTTTTTCTGCAAGGATAGGCGTATTTTGGTACCATGAAAATGTGTCGGTTAAAGCAGGATGTTGGAATACTCAGGTGTCGGATTAGGCAGGTTACACTGTATTAACATTTCAGTTGCTTTTCGTTTGCATGCTGTTTTCAAAATCTGTCCTTCTAGTTCTGAGTATAAGTTTCATGTAAATGATCTAATTCCCTACTCAATATAACTGTACTAGATTCATCTGTAAATAGCCTAGCACACTACGACTTAACTGTAAATCTCCATCTAATTTCTCTATTTTTCTGAACAAATGCCTGACGAAATTTGTGTTCTTCGACAACGATGACAGGTTTTCCTCTTTCAAACTTTATGTTCTTGAACGATATATCAGACATCTTTACATGTGAAAAACTATTCTGTTACTGAACAATTTATTTTTTGGTGATTTTTTCTCAATTTTGATGAGTGTTGAGTTTAATCTAAATTTGATAGGTTATTCATAGTACATGTTACATCCATTCTATAGGTAAAAATGTACAGGTGAATGTGGCGCAATTTGATTCTATTTACTGGCGCAATTGATATCATCCGAAAAATAAAGAGTGGCGCAATTGATACCTTTTGAAAACTGTAATTGGCGCAAATTGATTCTGCCCCTTTTACTATTATTAGATCGTCTATTGTTATGAATAAAGTGAATAATTGAATTTTTGAGGATTTTTTAACACGCATATAAAAACAGAATAATGTGTAATCTATTAAAATTAACTTCTTTTTTATTTTATGGAGAACTATCACCCAAAATAAATGTGTGTCCTACTACTGCATAAACCAAGATCCATAACTTATGTATAAAGGATAAGGATAAGTGTCCTTCAACGAAGATGTTGTTGTTTCATTGTATTAAAATTTGGCAAAATTCTTCGAATAGATATCCTTTAAAGGGGCACTAGCTGTCAAATTCATGTTCACCGATTTGACTCAAATTCTCATATTTGATTTATAACAATGTAAAACATTTATCCAAATTATAAAAAGTAAAAAATATTCAATTTACAGGGCATGGGCTCGATAATATGTAGCTTCGTTTCGTGTTTTTTTTTTAGTCTAGACGCCATCTAATTAACTATCGAGTTGACCTCCGAATACCTCCGATGGCCATATAAACATAAATATAGATATAAATAGAAACCAGACTCGTGCAATTGGATTTTTCTAGGTCTGTTTAATTTCATATTATAGATTAAAAATATATATTAATCATCGTTTTTACCTGTATAAGAATGATTTTTTTGTGGATCGAATCAGTCAATCAAATGATTTACCTTTGTTTCACTTTCAATGTGGACATTCTTTTCCTTTAAATAACTCAGCACGCACGATTCATGCGTTATCCATCTCTAGCTAAGGGGTTAAATTGAAGTTCACATGAATACGGATTCAATGAGATCGAATTATTCACTTGCAAGTGAATAATTCATAATCAATGTTTCTTAGCTTATTTTGACAAAATTGAACCATACTGGCTGCTAAAAGCGATATATTATTTAACTATTTCACTTTCATTAATGATTGAACAAAAAAAAATCATATTTTATATTTTTTATATATCTCGTAGCTAGTGCCCCTTTAAGAGATTTCCAGTGTATATACAAACATTCTGGAAAGTTTATAGAAAACTGTAAAACGAGTTGAAAATGTTGTCATGATATTGAACCCACAAAATTTTATCTCGTCCAGACAGCATGCCCACACACGTGTCAAACTTTCACCGTTCTTCGTGCAACCAGATCAAATAATAAATACTAATAGGTAGGACTTCTGCTAATCTAGTATTATCTTAAAGTGCAATTTCCTACATTGTTGTTTCAATAGGCAACATTTATAAGACAAGTCGATATTGTTCTGTACGGTCTGGAAACCTTAAAGACAAATCGATATTGTTCTATACGGTCTGGAAACCTTAAAGACAAGAATAGTATAAAGGAAAAGAGAAATACGAAAAAGACCGGATAACGTCCTTCCGACAAGAACAAAAATATAGATGAACTCCGAAATTTAAGAGGTCAACGTACTAAATTAGACATTACACCCTCTGAGATATGGCATGAGGGAATTTTCTAATATAACCAAATTAGATACATCATTATACCTCCGTTACAGTTTCCATCATGTGTTATCAATAATTAATAGTTCGTTATTTGTTTAAACACATAGGTTCGTTTAGATAAGTAAGCCGTCAGTATTTTACATATTTCAGTAGCAGTGTCGTTTCTAAGTATATAGGTTTAATAGTATACCTTTGAAACTTTTTCAAGATAACGAACCTGTTAACATCTATTACTTGCAATTCACCTTGTTTGTTATTGTTTTCACAAATATTACAATTTCGAGTAAGTAAGGAAGTTACAAAAACTCTACCATGAACTGAAAAATACAAGTTACTTAACTTTAAGTCATGGTAAAAATGTAAATGTCTATAATATTTTACTATGACTTGAAGTCTAGGTATATATGTATATTTTCTATTCTCATAAAAAAAAACGTTCATACGATGTATGGATGGATGGCTGTTTACCGTCTAGTGGTAAACTAAGTACAGATATAATAGTTTCTTTTAAACTGCAGGACAACTGCAAACATTTATCGAAACTTTCGCCTTAAAAAAATAAGTTATGTTTTGTATATCCTTTTTTTACAGAAGCGCATACCAAGCTAATGTCTTGTCAACTTACGTGTACGTTTTCAGCATCTTTGATACTAACCACACTATCCAATGCAGATTTAAATCAATAACTATACGGTTTATATAAGAATAACTGAAAAATACAAGTTACTTAACTTTAAGTCATGTTAAACATGTAAATGTCTATGATATTTTACTATGACTTGAAGTCTAGTATATATGTATATTTTCTATTCTCATAAAAAAAAACGTTCATACGATGTATGGATGGATGGCTGTTTACCGTCTAGTGGCAAACTAAGTACATATGCAGGACGCGAACATGATAATGTGATTAATGTGATATGTATATACACCCGTTTGTACTAGACAGACATGCTGAGTCAATTTTTTTACACATTATTCTGACTCAGAGTCGACCAGTCTTTGCTATTACTTAAATGCTACATTCTAAGCAGAAAAGCACCAAATACCAAGTTTCAAGTCTTTGTTTTGACCCGGCCAGAGTTCGAACCCACAATCTTCTGCTCTCCAGCACGCTACCCCGAGACCACCGATGCGGTATGGACACATTCTCCATTTATTTACCTTCCTTTTGCTCATGCATGCAATAACTTAAATATTCATACCTAATTCAAATACTGGTAATCCAATTCTAAAACGTCAGAAAGTACGCGAGAAACTTCAATCTTTGACCCGATTTAAGTGTTTGTTGTATAAGATTCTCAATGTTCTGTTGATTTGCAAATTCGAATAAACTGCATGTGTTATTAGTTTAATAATGAAATTTCAAGATGGCGAACATTCAAATAGTTTTTTTTTCAAGATTTCATTAAACCATATGTGTACAAAGTCAGCAAATTTGAAATATGTCCATGTCATTTTTTTGTCGATAAGGATGTTATTTTTATAATTGATGTCCCGTTCATGAAAGACCTAATCATTAGAAATAACTATGTCAATCTTACACAAGTTTATAGATATAAAGCATCCATCTGAACCAACCTTTATATAAAAAGGCGAAATACAATAGTTCAGGAGCGTATTTTTTAAAACAAATGTCATAAATTAAGAGAACTAGGGGGATAATACTCTTACAAAAATCATCAAGAATTAAGGTTTCAACTCCATCAGGCAAAATTCACCTCAGCTGGATTTAGCTATACCTTTTCGGTCTATTTTGGTACCCCTATTTTTGACATTTTTACCTATTATGTCTGTTTGTTTCGTTCACACATTGTTGTCAATGTAATGGAATTTTATGCAACTGTCATACAAGTGAGAGGTTTAGCTATAGCTTAAAAACCAGGTTTAATCCACAATTTCCTACAAAAGAACATGCCTGTACCAAGTCAGGAATATGACAGTTGTTTTCCATTCGTTTGATGTGTTTGATTTAGGCATCAGTGTAGATTAAACTGGAGATAAAAAATAACATCTAGTACTGGAAAAAAGAGGCAAAGATCATATCAGATCAAGAAAAGTAACTGGTAAATGCCAAAGATTGGATACTAGTATTTCTTCCTATTATTCAATTATGACCCACTATAGATACACAAGGCCATAATTTTTAGAAATTGTCTTTAAAATCACAAAGACAAAGTTTCGATAGTGTAAGGCAACTTATGTATTGATATTTACGGCAGCTTGCTTTTTACAACCTCTCTCCGCTTCAGCTAGTACCAATATCCTGTGTCGCTCCCATACGGAGATAAAACAATTTAGACAGTAGTAAACCTGTCAAGATACATTCAGATTTGTCCTTTTAGTTTGGAAAAAGACAACGCTATACTTAGCCTATAGTATTTTTAACCATTTTTCATTTGCCTTTATTTATATATCTTATTCATCTTTTAAAACTATATAATTCCTTATTTTCAAAAGAAGTTTATTTTTTTATATGAGATTTCCAAAATTATGCCTGTTTACAGCTGATCTGATACATCGATGTCATCAAGCACGATAAAATGTACTTAAATGTATTTCTTAGTGTTTTAAGTGAAAAAAAAACCCATAGATATTGATAAATTACAAACTGTTATTGTATCGCAAATAATTTATAACAGTGTTTATTTATTAAAAAACAACACATGTCTCAAATAAATATTTATCAATACTAGCATGCGCTCGATATTTCTTACTTGTAATTTTTGTCGCTTCTATGTAAACATATTCAAGGCTATCTTTCGATCTTAAAATATAGGCAAATAATAATAAAATTTGAAAGACCTTATCTTTAATTATAGTTGAAAAAAAGGTAAATGATTTTTTAAAACTTTAATTCAAATGTCAAATAAGTTTCTTAGCATATCCCAGTCTTATCTCATGCAGTATGTATCGACTTTGCCTACTACTGGTATAGCTTTCAATATACTGTACATATTAGATATTTTTTCCATGACCAGATCTAAAACTGCATGTTAATTAACCCTATAAATGAAAACTTACAGAACTATAAAATTTCATCGCAAATCATAGAGATTTAATGCTAAAAAATTCTGATTACATCCTCCTTTCGTTATCATGGTACATAATATTTTAACTTTTCATGGTACATAATATTCCAACTTTTCATGGTACAATAATATTCAAATTTTTCATGGTACACAATATTCAAACTTGTCGTATAGGAGTTAATATGGTAACAGCAGGTGCACGATCAATTTAGGGACTTGATTGTATTTCATAATTTCCTTTATTGAATAAATACTGAAGCATCAGGATACACCATTTTTGATGTTTTGATCACTGTGTTTATCAATTTTATTAATAAAGTATTTGACTTCTTAGATATACCCTTTCTTCTTAAGGTCTTTACTCCAATGTTTGTCTGTGTAAAGCGTACGCCGGACTGCTTCGTCATTATTTCAACTGAAATAAGTAAGATCTTTCATATTGTTGATGTTATGTTTTCCATCTGAGTTGAAATGATTCTAACTCCATGGGTTTTATGACTACCCTTCCGACTTCCTTACTCACTTCATGTAAATGTGAAAGAGACATTTGACTTACTTTGACTAAAGTTAAATCTTTAAATAATGCATTAAGATTAAGTTCATGCGCCCCAGTACACATATTTTCGTTTTGATGAACGTTACAAGAGGTTACACGTTTGTGTAAAGTTAATCCAGTTCCAATGAATTTACCTGACTCAGTTAACAATGAACGGAAGTTAGCGATTGAAATGTCGCAAGGTAAGTTATCTGGATTCAAAAACGACAGTTCTTTGGTTTTAAATTTCACAGATGTGAAAGAATATAAAGATATTACTGGGTTCTGCAGAAAATCGTTTACAATGTAACTTGTCATGGATGGTTGCATTTGGTACTGTCTATAATCCGTTGTGGTGTGGTGATCACGGAGCTGTTCTATGTGCAATATGAATTTACTTATTGCAGGTTTGTTGTCCGTCACAGATTCCTCCAACCCTTTACCAAATGACATGGGCACCCTATCAAGCATAACCTCTAATGAACCAGGAGAAAAACTCCCTACACCAAGCGGTTGGGCTGTATGCATTGTCAAACGTGTATTTGTATCTTCAATCACTGCCATGGTTGTAAATGGGTAAAAGTTGGCGCCTATTGGTAAATTTTTTCTGGGCTTTCTGCGATTCATTTGAAAGCCATTAGAATCTGTAAAATATATATCTTTATTTTGAATATTGGTTGATAGTCGCATCATTAATTCGGTATCTTGTTCTTCTGGTGTCAGCAACGTTGAATTGTTTTCTATGTGGACAGTTTGACCTTGAATACTATTGCTATGGTAAAGGCTAACAGTGTGTGAAAACAACTTATGATGAACTTTAACCTGAGACATAAATCTTCCTGTTATAAACGTCAGTGAATCAGCATGTAACAATAAACCCTCTTCCACTTTATTTGAATGAAAGCAGTAAGCATTGCTGTTGTTTCCAAAATAACGAAAAAAGTCAACATCAACTTTCGAGCAGTATTTTGTCGAAGTCTTCAAACACATTTCATGTAAGGCACCGGTTGCTTTTATAAAAGATAGTTTCAAGAAATTATTTTCTGCAATAAAGTTCGGTTTGGAATTTTCCTTATCTTTGTTTATCGTAAATAACCTATATTTATCATCTATTTTTCCTTTAACACTGATGATTTTTGAAAACACTGATTTGTCTTTTCTATTAGGCTTGACCACATGGTTGATAACCAAAGTCTTTCTACGTATCTTATACACAGAGAAACCGATTGCTGGAATATTCACTTCAAAAATGATTTGATACTCATGTTGAGATATGGTATAATGATTTAACCAGACAGGACTTACTTGGTACGGAACAACTTTATTTTTACTGTCGAACACTTCAACATCATAAGTGTCAATATAGACGCTTATTACTTCTTTTCTAGGTACTGAATACGAGTTTAATACAACGAGTGAACTTGTGTCAGATGTACTGGATATAGTTTTAACTTCCAGATTACGTTTTGGAGATGGTAACTCTCGTGTTAGTTTTAGATCGGCTACATTCGTACGTATTTCTGGCGACAACAGATTAGTTACACGTTTTTGGATAATTTCTATCAATGAATTTATAGCTTCATATATTTTAATTTCGAAGTCAACAACGGTTCCTTCGGTCGATGTTCCAGTTATTGCATCGTGATGTTGTACTAAGCTATGCGTTCGTCGAGCTAACTGTATAGATTTCCAATCACTGTCTAAGTCAGGCGGCATTGAATCTGTATTTTGTAATAAGTACACATAAATCAGCGACATAAATGTTTCCGTTGCTCTTAGATATTCTTGCAGTTCTCGTATCATGCGCTTGTCGAAAGGTCTTGTTGTAAAATATCCGCTCCAATACTCGCTATCTTTATCTGTGTATGTGAAGAAATCTCCAGTTAAACTGGCATCTTTTGATTTAGATTTTTTCATTTCAGCATGAAGGATATCAAAGTAATCACCCACTGTGCCGAATTGCATTTTAATATTCCATTCTTTTCTCTCATTAACATAAGCCATTAACCGCTTCATGTTTTCGTAATTGGTCTGAAAATCGTAACTTTCAATATATCTAAAGTCGTCCCCATGAGGCATTAATATAACATTATGCTTGTAAAGTGCTGCTTTCTTTTTATATTGCCCAATAACCAATTCTGCAAAATTTTCGAAATTTCTTGCCTGTCGATTTTTACCAAAATATATTGGTTGGTCATTGTCTGGAAAACTACCTACACTAGAAAAATCTAATACTTTACAGATCTCCGTATCCGGTCCACAACTACATTCGATGTTGTACAGTGTGAAAGGTTCAACGTGACACATTATATCATGATCTCCATGTTTGTCCCATGGTTGTCGCCAATTAAACGTGAGCATCCTTCTATTACCCATATATCCTTTGACAGCTCCATGAATTCGCAAAATTGCCATATCTTTCATTCCGGCTTTCCTCCACAAATACGGTAATGTCGACGAATAGCCGAAAGGATCAATTGACCAACTTATGTTTGGGTATATTCCAAAATGTTCTTTTATCCACAAATGTCCCTCTATCATCTGATCTAGTACTGCGGTATAGTGAGTCGTGGCTTCATCGACAGAAACCCAACCACCTGATAATATTTCTATCTTACCTTTCCGTACTAGATCACGGAAAGCAGATCTTAGCGGTTCTGGAGACTCTTTCCACCACCTATCAAGAAAAACTGTCTCCGTCCAAATCATTCTAAAATCAGGAAATCGTTGTAGAGCCTCTATAGTGTTAGTTAATATCTGGCGTGTTCTTATAGTGTAATAATCTTCAAACGTCCACAGCCAACCTGGATCATTATGAGAATGTGGAACAACGATAATCTTAAGGGGTTCCGAATGTTTTATTTGGTGGCCAGCATTAAAATCTAGGTTTTCAACCACAGTGTATAATCCGTCTTTAGGATTGACAGTAAAATTAAGATTATCGTAAATTGAATCTACCGTCCAGTCGGCTGTCATGTAAGATTGTTTTGGTTCACATTTCTCTCTTTCACGTTGTTCACCGTACAATGAGAGATCGTTACTCCTCAATATTGTTAATGTAAATAAAACTAATAACGTTACAATCGTGGCTGTAACAATTCTTTCCTTATATTTCATATCCAACACGACAAGTCCTTGAAGCAGGTGCTCTTTCCCAGTGAAAAATCAACCTGCAATTATATTAACGATATTTATACCATTTATGAACTGTGTATAGAGATTGGTAAATTGGAGAAAATGACCGTTTAAATGGATTGGATGATGTGTAATTTAACTTAAGTAGCATTGTTTGTGTAAGTGATTATAATACTGACAATGAATATTTGCTTTACATAACACTTATATTCAATTGAAATTTGTGAAAGAAAAAGTTTTTAAAGCAATTTTATGTCTATGGCTGTCAGATTACAGTTTCCGTTAGGATTATTCTATATAATAACTTAATTGTCTTTGCTTTAAAAGAACTCTATAAAGCGTAGTTTAAAGAGGAAACCAGTAAGTGAAAAACTAAAAGGCACATCTTTTTCGTTAGTAAAAAAATATTAATTATTACAAAATATTTAATACATATATAAATATAAGAAAATGTGGTATAATTGCTAACGAAACAACTCTCCACCAGAGACCAAATGACGTAGAACGTAGCAACTATATGTCACCGTACGACCTTTAACAATGAGCAAAACCCATACAGAATAGAAAGCCATTAAAAAAGCCCCAAAATGACAAATGTAAAATAATTCAAACGATAAACTTTTCCATATGGTTAGCTCTTATACTCATCAATGACACAAAAACCACACGACCCAAAAAAAAAAAAAAAAAAAACGTCTTCAGGTCATCATATGGTCTTAAAAATGGTCAAGGTCCTTTCGGATATGTTAAGCTCGAAATAGATTATCTAAAAATAGGTTTTAATTAATTTTTGAGCACTCTGCTAATATCAATCAATAGAATGACAAACATAACCTCAAATCAGTTAAAAAAAAGCTCTTACGTCTTTAACACTTGTAAAGGAGACAATAAGAAGTAGAACAATAATTGATAATACATTATCAAAGTTTGCAGACTTTAAATGAAAATATGCGTTCCACAAACAGACTTTAACAGTAATATTGTTTCAAAAAATAACACGTTTTTGAGTAACACTTATAGAATCTTAGAGAATTTTTCTTCATGGCTAAATAGACTTATTGATATAGTCATAATCATATTATTGGTTTTAATGTATTTTTAATTTATCTACATCGAAGGTATTTACGATACTCTGTATTAAATGGCGTTGTGTTATACCTATGATTTTAGGTCCCCTTGGACATATACCTCTTCACATTTTTTTATTTTAGGTCCCCTTGGACATATAGCTCTTCACATTTTTTTATTTTAGGTCCCCTTGGACATATAGCTCTTCACATTTTTTTATTTTAGGTCCCCTTGGACATATAGCTCTTCACATTTTTTGATTTTAGGTCCCCTTGGACATATAGCTCTTCACTTTTTTTATTTTAGGTCCCCTTGGACATATAGCTCTTCACATTTTTTTTATTTTAGGTCCCCTTGGACATATAGCTCTTCACATTTTTTGATTTTAGGCCCCCTTGGACATATAGCTCTTCACTTTTTTTTATTTTAGGTCCCCTTGGACATATAGCTCTTCACATTTTTTTATTTTAGGTCCCCTTGGACATATAGCTCTTCACATTTTTTTATTTTAGGTCCCCTTGGACATATAGCTCTTCACTTTTTTTTATTTTAGGTCCCCTTGGACATATAGCTCTTCACATTTTTTGATTTTAGGTCCCCTTGGACATATATCTCTTCACTTTTTTTTATTTTAGGTCCCCTTGGACATATAGCTCTTCACATTTTTTTTATTTTAGGTCCCCTTGGACATATAGCTCTTCACATTTTTTGATTTTAGGCCCCCTTGGACATATAGCTCTTCACATTTTTTGATTTTAGGTCCCCTTGGACATATATCTCTTCACATATTCCTATATATTTCCTTGGTTTTCAACTACTTGGATTTGAGCGTACCTGATAAAAGTAAATCCAGGAAAGTACTTCGGACGCCTTGGATTTGAGCGTACCTGAAAAAGGTAAATCCAGGAAAGTACTTCGGACGATACATAAAGTGTTATTTGTTTTCTTTGATAAGGCGTATACAATCTTTCAGAATAACAGCCTCCGATATAACATGTATGACGGCATGATTTCATACCAGCAACATAAGTATTTTGAATTTGCTTATTGCAACTACAAGAATTCGCGGATAGGCGATACTGTTTGTCATAATTTGTTTGTTTGCTTATTATTATTATTATTATTGTATTTTGTCTCTCCTACCGGTGTTACAACGCCAAATGTAAGCACTGAAACGTATGAGAAAAGAAGATTAGACAAAACAGCCCCCATTCTGTGGATTGATTTGCCAAGTGAACTACAAAACATACAGGCTGTGAACGTTTTAAGGAAAAGCCTGAAGACTCATTTATTCGGACATGCTTTTTCATGGCCCTTAAAATATTCTACCTCATTATATCTTTTTTTTATTTTTAATTAAATATTTTGGAAAATCTAACTACTAGTACTTTTTATTTGAACAGATTTATTGGATGCACTGGAAGGTAAATAGTAATAACTTATTCTTAAAAAGAACACATTCAACACAACAAATCATTGAGCAACTGTTAAGAAAAGGTTTAATTAACAAATGGGAACGCATGGAAAAGATAAAAAAAAACAATATTATGGCTCAACACACTCGAAAGATTTGTGCACGCCGTATTTCTAATTTATGAGATTCCTATCAACAATCACTGAATGAAATATTATCTGTCGATAATACGTTATAAATTCGTAATAAATATAAAAAAACATGCATGCAGGACTTTGTTTAGTATAAATGCATTCATTTGTTCAAATTCGATCTCATTAAAATTACAAGAAACTCGTTTCATATGACTTTAAAAGTTATTTAGTAATCATTTCTCATATGCTAATTTTTTCTCAAGGGCTTTTATATTTTATTGTAAATACTTCTATATGTAAATTGATATTATGATATAAAGCGCTTAGGGTAATGTTCATTTTGTATAATGCGCTGTAAAAAATAATGTACAATAAATAAATTAAAGAGCTATGGGCTCTTTATAAACCTCTGATTTGTATTTTCTTTTTCTAATACAAATCTTTTATGATTCCACTGCTCGAGAATAAAAGAAGAAGGACTGACTTTACCACAAGTCCATTTGTCTATCTCAAGTCGAGAATAAAAGAAGAAGGGTAGACTTTACCACAAGCCCATTTGTCTATCTCAAGTCGACAATAAAAGAAGAAGGATTGACTTTACCACAAGCCCATTTGTCTATCTCAAGTCGAGAATAAAAGAAGAAGGGTAGACTTTACCACAAATCCATTTGTCTATCTCAAGTCGAGAATAAAAGAAGGAGGATGGACTTTACCACAAGTCCATTTGTCTATCTCAAGTCGAGAATAAAAGAAAGGGGACTGACTTTACCACAAGTCCATTTGTCTATCTCAAGTCGACAATAAAAGAAGAAGGGTAGACTTTACCACAAGCCCATTTGTCTATCTCAAGTCGACAATAAAAGAAGAAGGATTGACTTTACCACAAGCCCATTTGTCTATCTCAAGTCGACAATAAAAGAAGAAGGGTAGACTTTACCACAAATCCATTTGTCTATCTCAAGTCGAGAATAAAAGAAGGAGGATGGACTTTACCACAAGTCCATTTGTTTATCTCAAGTCGAGAATAAAAGAAAGGGGACTGACTTTACCACAAGTCCATTTGTCTATCTCAAGTCGAGAATAAAAGAAGGAGGATTGACTTTACCACAAGTCCATTTGTCTATCTCAAGTCGAGAATAAAAGAAGGGTAGACTTTACCACAAGCCCATTTGTCTATCTCAAGTCGAGAATAAAAGAAAAAGGATTGACTTTACCACAAGTCCATTTGTCTATCTCAAGTCGATAATAAAGACGGAGGATTGACTTTACCACAAATCCATTTGTCTATCTCAAGTCAAGAATAAAAGAAGAAGGATTGACTTTACCATAAGTCCATTTGTCTATCTCAAGTCGAGAATAAAAGAAGAAGGGTAGACTTTACCACAAGTCCATTTGTCTATCTCAAGTCAAGAATAAAAGAAGGAGGATTGACTTTACCACAAGTCCATTTGTCTATCTCAAGTCGAGAATAAAAGAAAGAGGACTGACTTTACCACAAGTCCATTTGTCTATCTCAAGTCGAGAATAAAAGAAGGAGGATGGACTTTACCACAAGTCCATTTGTCTATCTCAAGTCGAGAATAAAAGAAAGAGGACTGACTTTACCACAAGTCCATTTGTCTATCTCAAGTCAAGAATAAAAGAAGAAGGGTAGACTTTACCACAAGTCCATTTGTCTATCTCAAGTCGAGAATAAAGAAGGAGGATTGACTTTACCACAAGCCCATTTGTCTATCTCAAGTCGAGAATAAAAGAAGAAGGGTAGACTTTACCACAAATCCATTTGTCTATCTCAAGTCGAGAATAAAAGAAGGAGGATGGACTTTACCACAAGTCCATTTGTCTATCTCAAGTCGAGAATAAAAGAAAGGGGACTGACTTTACCACAAGTCCATTTGTCTATCTCAAGTCGAGAATAAAAGAAGGAGGATTGACTTTACCACAAGTCCATTTGTCTATCTCAAGTCGAGAATAAAAGAAGGGTAGACTTTACCACAAGCCCATTTGTCTATCTCAAGTCGAGAATAAAAGAAAAAGGATTGACTTTACCACAAGTCCATTTGTCTATCTCAAGTCGATAATAAAGACGGAGGATTGACTTTACCACAAATCCATTTGTCTATCTCAAGTCAAGAATAAAAGAAGAAGGATTGACTTTACCATAAGTCCATTTGTCTATCTCAAGTCGAGAATAAAAGAAGAAGGGTAGACTTTACCACAAGTCCATTTGTCTATCTCAAGTCAAGAATAAAAGAAGGAGGATTGACTTTACCACAAGTCCATTTGTCTATCTCAAGTCGAGAATAAAAGAAAGAGGACTGACTTTACCACAAGTCCATTTGTCTATCTCAAGTCGAGAATAAAAGAAGGAGGATGGACTTTACCACAAGTCCATTTGTCTATCTCAAGTCGAGAATAAAAGAAAGAGGACTGACTTTACCACAAGTCCATTTGTCTATCTCAAGTCAAGAATAAAAGAAGAAGGGTAGACTTTACCACAAGTCCATTTGTCTATCTCAAGTCGAGAATAAAGAAGGAGGATTGACTTTACCACAAGCCCATTTGTCTATCTCAAGTCGAGAATAAAAGAAGAAGGGTAGACTTTACCACAAGTCCATTTGTCTATCTCAAGTCGAGAATAAAAGAAGGAGGATTGACTTTACCACAAGTCCATTTGTCTATCTCAAGTCGAGAATAAAAGACGGAGGATTGACTTTACCACAAGTCCATTTGTCTATCTCAAGTCGAGAATAAAAGAAGGAGGACTGAATTTTCCACAAGTCCATTTGTCTGTCTCAAGTCTATAATAAAAGAAGGAGGATTGACTTTACCACAAGTCCATTTGTCTATCTCAAGTCGAGAATAAAGAAGGAGGACTGACTTTACCACAAGTCCATTTGTCTATCTCAAGTCGAGAATAAAAGACGGAGGATTGACTTTACCACAAGTCCATTTGTCTATCTCAAGTCGAGAATAAAGAAGGAGGATTTACTTTACCACAAGTCCATTTGTCTATCTCAAGTCGAGAATAAAAGAAGGAGGACTGAATTTTCCACAAGTCCATTTGTCTGTCTCAAGTCGATAATAAAAGAAGGAGGACTGACTTTTCCACAAGTCCATTTGTCTATCTCAAGTCGATAATAAAAGACGGAGGATTGACTTTACCACAAGTTCATTTGTCTATCTCAAGTCGAGAATAAAGAAGGAGGATTGACTTTACCACAAGTCCATTTGTCTATCTCAAGTCGAGAATAAAAGAAGAAGGGTAGACTTTACCACAAGTCCATTTGTCTATCCCAAGTCGAGAATAAAAGACGGAGGATTGACTTTACCACAAGTCCATTTGTCTATCTCAAGTCGAGAATAAAAGAAGAAGGGTAGACTTTACCACAAGTCCATTTGTCTATCTCAAGTCGAGAATAAAGACGGAGGATTGACTTTACCACAAGTCCATTTGTCTATCTCAAGTCGAGAATAAAAGAAAGAGGACTGACTTTACCACAAGTCCATTTGTCTATCTCAAGTCGAGAATAAAAGACGGAGGATTGACTTTACCACAAGTCCATTTGTCTATCTCAAGTCGAGAATAAAAGAAGGAGGACTGAATTTTCCACAAGTCCATTTGTCTGTCTCAAGTCGATAATAAAAGAAGGAGGATTTACTTTACCACAAGTCCATTTGTCTATCTCAAGTCGAGAATAAAAGGAGGACTGAATTTTCCACAAGTCCATTTGTCTGTCTCAAGTCGATAATAAAAGACGGAGGATTGACTTTACCACAAGTCCATTTGTCTATCTCAAGTCGAGAATAAAAGACGGAGGATTGACTTTACCACAAGTCCATTTGTCTATCTCAAGTCGAAAACCTCGTCAGTTGTTTTCCTGTCTTTAAAATAATTGGTTCCTATATTTAAGTTATTCGGTGTTGCTGGTAGATATTTAATGGTCTCTATTTGATGTTTGCACAAATGTTATATACTATTGGTGATAAAAAGCTCTGCACAAGTTTATTTTTGAAGACGAGTATTTTGACCTCCATATGTCATTTTGGTTATTTGTATGATGTTTGTTGTTGTCGCATTGATCTGTGCACAAATACCCTGTAATTCATGTGGATATTACATATTTAATGTCAATAAATCTTTGTATACAAAAATTACAAGATGTGGTATGATTGCAAATGAAACAACTCTCCACTGGAGACCAATAGGCATAGAAGTTAACAACTATAGGCCACTGTACGGCCTTCAATAATGAGCAAACGCCCTACCGCCTAGCAAGCTATAAAATGCCCCGAAATGATTAATGTAAAATAATTCAAACGAGAAAACTAACGGCCAGATTTATGTACAAAACAATAGACGAAAATCAAATATGATATACAGCAAAAAAAGACAACCACTGAATTATAGGCTCCTATGTCCAGCTTGTGCCTTAGAAATGATAACGCCTAAATATCTATTGTTACCATATAAAAAATGATAATGCTGTGTTTTAGTTTTAGATTTAATAGAAGATTGTTCTGTAACTTTTTTTCCTGATAGTTCTATTAAGGGTGTCAAATGAAGCACCTTTAACATTGGTTTAGTGACAATTTGTGCATACAGTACTTGTAATTTATTTAGTCAATATCTTAAAAATACTAATCATTTTGAAGATTTTTGTGATCTGACTCTGTCCTGTCAGTTCTTGAGAGGAATTAGGTTTCATTTATTTAGCCCTCAATCTTTATAATTAAATAGAATGGAAATTCAATGGTCATTTTTTGTTTCCATATTTTTTATCATACAATTCTAGTCTAATTTGTGTAATTCCAAACTTTATTTATGCTTATTTGTCGGCATCTTATATATGAATACTGTTTTGTGATTGACTACGCTCAATTCATTCATTTGAAAGGTTAATTTGCACAATAATCATATCTATTTTAGACCTAACAAACATTCCATTGACAAAGAAGGTCAATATTAACCATTTAAAATGTCACCTACTGAAATATTGAAATATTAAATCACCTTAATATTAATACGGTCATTTCTTGTAG